AAGGTAATGCCCTTCGGGCTCAAAAATGCGGGGGCTACATACCAGAGACTGGTAACCAAAATGTTCAAAGAGCAGCTCGATAAGACTATGGAAGTCTATATCAACGACATGCTGGTAAAGTCGACAAGAAAAGAGGACCACATCGACCATCTGAAAGAAACCTTCGAGATACTGAGAAGATACGGGATGAAACTGAACCCCGAGAAATGCGCCTTCGGCGTGGCATCAGGAAAATTCTTAGGGTTTCTCGTATCGCAACGAGGTATCGAAGTCAATCCAGATCAGATCAAGGCGATAGACGCAATACCGGAGATACTGAACAGCAAAAGCAGGTGCAAAAGCTGACGGCGAATAGCCGCCTTGTCTAGGTTCATCTCACGGTCCTCCGACAGATGCCATAAGTTTTTTTAATGTGCTGAGAAAGGACAAAGGGTTACAGTGGGATGAGGAATGCGTCGAGGCCCTAAGGAAATTGAAAGCGTACCTATCCTCACCGCCACTGCTAGCCAAAGCCAACCCAGGCGAGCCACTACTGTTATATTTAGCCGTATCAGAGGTCGCCGTCAGCGCAGTCCTAGTTCCTGAAAATGAAGGTACGCAATCTCCTATTTACTATATTAGCAAAACCTTAGTGGATGCCGAAACACGGTATCCACACCTTGAAAAATTAGCGTTGGCATTGGTCGTAGCTTCACGGAAGCTCCGACCCTATTTCCAATGCCACCCCATAAAGGTAGTAACGACCTTCCCCTTGAGAAGTATCCTGCACAAGCTTGAGTTATCAGGCAGACTCGCCCGATGGGCCATAGAGCTCAGTGAGCGCGATATCTCATATCATCCAAGGAACGCCATCAAGTCGTAGGTACTTGCCGACTTCAGCGCAGAGATACTACCAGAGGCGGAATTGGAGGCACGCCGTGCCCCCTCCAATGCCGACCTATGGACTCTTTACACTGATGGCGCCGCTAACGCCTCGGGATCGGGATTGGGACTCGTTCTCGAGGTCCCCACGGGCGAAACAATTCGCCAGTCCATACGATGCCCCGAGATGACTAACAACGAAGCCGAGTACGAGGCTGTTATTGCAGGTTTGAAACTAGCCATCAACTATGGAGCTCGACGACTCGTTCTCCATTGCGACTCTCAGCTCGTGGTGAACCAGGTCACTGGGACTTACCAAATCAAGAAGCAGAGGTTGCAAAAATACCAATCAAAAATCCACAGGTTAATGACCGAGTTTGACGAGTGCCTCTTCGAACAAGTTCCAAGAACACAGAACGTCGAGGCAGACGGCTTAGCAAAATTAGTCGCAGCCACTAAAAACTTCAACAAAGAAAGCGGGGTCACCCTCCTCCATTCAGCCATTGATCACCCCGAGGTACTCTCTCTAAATTTGACTTGGGACTGGCGCAACCAATTTGTATCCTATCTGCAGGATGGAACACTCCCCCTCGACAAAAAAGAAGCCAAGAAGCTCCGCGTACAGGCCGCCCGGTATTGCCTGATAAACCACGAGCTCTACAAAAGGACGTTTGGCGGACCCCTAGCCAAGTGTCTAGGGCCGCAACAAATGCGACTAGTGCTCGAAGAGGTACAAGAAGGTCATTGCGGCGCCCATACAGGACCGCGTCCTCGTGCACTGCATAATACGAGCTGGCTATTATTAGCCCACTATGAAGAAAGACGCAGCAGAATATGTCCGCCGATGCGAACAATGCCAAAAGTATGCCCCCATGATACATCAACCATGAGAACCACTTCACTCGGTCACTTCCCCATGGCCCTTCATCAAATGGGGAATGGACATAGTCGGTCCCCTACCAGCGGGACGAGGAAAGGTATGATTTCTATTAGTTTTAACTGACTATTTTTCCAAGTGGGTGGAAGCAGGAGCGTACGCCCAAATACGCGAACAAGAAGTCATCGCCTTCATATGGAAGAATATCATCTGCCGTTTCGGCATCCCCAAGGAAATCAGCTGCGACAACGGACGAGAATTCATCGGCCAAAAGACAACAGAATTCTTCGACAAATGGCGTATCAAGCGGATACTATCCACGCCATATCACCCTGCCGCCAAAGGCCAAGTAGAGTCTTCCAATAAAACAATACTGAACATACTGAAGAAGAAACTCGAGAAAGCCAAAGGGCTATGGCCCGAGCTACTACCGGAAGTGTTATGGGCACACCGAACCACGCCCAAATCCTCCACAGGAGAAATGCCGTACTCACTGGTCTACGGAACCGACGCGGTCATACCGGTCGAAGTCGGCGAACCAAGCTTAAGGTATTCACATACCAACAGAGCAGAGAACGACGTAAACAGACTTCAAGACCTCGATGAGGCCGAGGAAAGAAGAGAAATTGCCCACATAAGAATGGTGGCTCAGAAACAACAAGTCGAAAGATACTACAACAAGAGAGCCAAAATAAGACCACTCAAAGTGGGGGACTACGTCCTCAAAGCCAAAACATTGGCATCAAAAGACCCAA